ATAGAACGTGTATAATGATATTTTGATGTTTTATGCTTTCTTTGAATCGAAGACTTATTATTTTAATAAAATCTAAACTAGGAGACTGAGAAATACATGAAAGGAAATAATTATTGTATAACAATAAACAATTTACAAAAAAAAAATGTAAATATAGAACTTGAGTTTTAAGGAAAATAAAAATATAATTGATAATATAAACATTTTCTTTTTTGGCAAGTCTCTGGTACGAGGAAGACTTTATTAGAAAGAAATAATAATAGTAATAATAAATACCATAATCCTCATTAGATATCCTAAACCAGACATTAATTAAAATTTGTGTCAAAATTTTAACTCACTCTCAAAGTTATCTATCTATTTATAAATAAGTATAGCTAACCTTACCTTTTTTTCTTTTAAATGCTTTGATGATATCCGTATGATGCCACTCGAATGTGTTTGCAAGTACTCTTGACATTTTCCCTACCCATTTCTTGAAGCAATCATGCATTGTTATTTCATTTTTGTATGTCACAAACACAAGACACTTATCAATAAACTTGTATTCCTTGCTTTGCAGAAATGTCACAAGCATTTAGAGTTTCTATCACTGAATCTATTGGTCCCCTTTAAAGAAACATGCAATATCTAAAAATAAAACCTTCTCCTCTTTCTCAAGTCCATCATAACTAACTCTTAATACCTTTTGAATACCAAAAGGACATTTTTCTAGGTTTTTTATTGCACTTTCCCAAATTCTTTTTCCCTGGAACCAATAGGAACCCAACACTTTAAGAGCCAACGGAATGCCTTGGAATATTCTACTACTAGGTTTGATAGCTCAATTAATCTTTAGTAGGAAAGCGTTGTTTAAAGGCATATTGATTAAAAAGTCGATGAGCTGGCATCTCACTTAGTCCCTCAACCTTGTATATATAAGCATCATCTACTCCACAAGTTCTCAACACTTGTTTATCCCTTGTTGTTTGATAATTTGACTTTTTGAGTTCAACAAATTAAGATTTCCAATCAAATTTTCTATCTGTTGTAAAGATGTTACATCATCAAAAACAATGAGACCTTCTTTTTTTAAGTCTGTCTCTTGTGAAGGTGGTCCTAAATTGGATCTTTGTCCTTTAATATTTGGGAAAGAAGTTTTTCTTGCAAGTGAGTTATCTCCCACTTTCTCCGACTCTTCCCTAACATTTTCAGCAAAATATGATCCTTCAAAACGATTCAAAATTTGGTTGAATACAACACGGGCAATAGTTGTCTTGCCAGCACCACCTATGCCCCAAATTCCTATTTTGGAAACACATTTGATCCCTTGTCAACAAAGACTCTATTTTTTTTATGGGAAACCTACTCCACCAAGTCCCCATAATCACTTGGAGACAATTTATATAGTTTCTCCAAATTCGTCGGCAGTTTCTCTAAAGTTTAGATTCAGCCTAATATAAACAACAAAACAAACTTTAATTAGTTAGAAATTATGTTTATATAGCTTTCATCAATTCAAGCATTCGGAAGTGTTTAATACACTAAAAGATAACAAAAGCAAAATATTATGAAATTAAACTTACTTTTGATAATTTATAGTATGGCCACCTAGATTTTTCCAGGGCTTGTAAGGAAGAAGTGTTAACATTTTCTACTAAATCCCTTGGATCTGATGGTGCATTAGCCTTTACATTGCAGTATATCCAGGTGGTGAAACTGCTTGTTAAGGTTTGGGAGCACTTTGCACCCATGAAAAAGCTCCATTATTATGAAGTGGGAGAATTGGAGGTCTTATTAGGAAAGTTAGACAGTAGGCTTGCAGATATCAGATGTAGGTTTATAGGGTTGTCTAAAGAAGAGGAGTTGCACGTCTTGGAGCTGGTACTTGTGTTTTGTTTGTTGAGGTTGTCTAAAGTTGAAATCTGCTGCTATCTTACTACCCTGAAAAAGCTGTCGTCTACAATTTCGCATGTAGAATTTCTCCATCAGCAAGGGTCCATTGAACTATCCAAGTTTGTAACTGAAGTTAAGAATTCATTGCTTGAGATTGGCACGTCTACTTTTGGTGCTTCCTACAAGCCATTTATGTTCAGTCAATTACTTGAGTCCTTTTTTCTAAACCAGCTTTTGTTAAGTGGGAGGCTTAGGCACATAAAAGCGGAACTGGATGTTCCCGATAATAGTACTGAAAATCCTGTTACTTTTGTTTCAGGGCTCCCAGTTGCCATACCTCTTGAGATCACTTTGCATAATATTTCTAGTGAGAATAGGTTGTGGCTTAGGATAACTGTGAGTGAAGAGTCAACTCAGTTCATCTTTCTAGATCTGAACTTAATTGGAGGATACAATGAGTTCCTGAAATTTACGTATATTGCACCCTTTTACAAGACTCCGAAAGCCATATCTTTCTCATTGAGGGTTTGTATAGGCATGGAATGCTTATTTGAGGATGTCCATTTTGTCAAAGTCCATGGAGGTCCAAAGCATATGCTAGCATATCTTTGCCATGAAAAAGAAGTTTATCTATCCATGGCTTCTAAAGGCTGATTATTCCTCCTAAAGTGGAAAACATACAAGTACATGCTTGCTGTACTTATAGCCAGAAGTTTAGTGGCTCCGTTATAGACTTTGATTTTTTGCCATTGGATGGTCATGAAATACTTATGGACTATATGAAAAATATGCGGACCAGCTTTCCTGTGTCTAAGATAGTAAGTTGATTTTCTTCAAAATCAGGAGATTCTTTGAGTTCATTTCTTCATAAGGGAAACTAGCTCTTTTTGTCTCACAAGGGTTGAAGATGCATACTTCGTTGTTCCACTATTACCCTTTTAAAGATTGTATTGAGGTGATGTTGTCGGAGTGGATGCATTGGAAGTTTTGTGGGTTTAGTTCTTCTCCTGGGGTATGTAACATCCCTTCTGGCCTTCCCATTAGTTTTTCATTTTTAACTTTTTTTTTTCCTTAAACAGTAGTTGCTTTTACATTATTGCTCTTCCAGGGTTGACAGCAGTGAAAGACTACATTTTCTTTCATGGAGATGGCCATGTAACCATGAAAGACGGGCAGCTATTTCTTTTCGTAAACTGGCATATTTCTTAAGTTTGACCAGGAAAATTCTGAATCAATTATTTATCTTGTATTTATCTTCTCCAATGGTATATTTAGCCTTTCATTTTTATTCTTTTCATATTTAACATTTCATTAAATCTTTCTGGTTTTTGCGTAGGGTGTAATCAAGGAGCCGATGTCCCGCCTCAGCTTATGTGTGCCTGAGCTAATAATTATAGTTATATATGTGGTTTTTGCCAAAGTTGTGGATGCTTCAGTGTTTATAAGCATTTTGTGACACCACTGACTTCGATTTCAGATTTTCAAATCTGAAGTCAACATGGATAAGTCTTCTCCAAGAGGAAACCAGGACTGGCATTGGTATATGAAATCATTAGAGCTCGCTGGAGAAGGTGACTTAAAAGTACTTCCCCAGGGAGAATAAGCAGAGCAGTTAAAAATGCCTGATCCACAGGTGTGAACTGATCGATAGTTTTAGCACTTAATCCATTTCTTGTTCTCGGGAAAATAGATTTAAATTTTATTGCAGTATTAAGTGATTACGTACAGGCTAATCCAAAATAGTATTGAAATTTGACTATTACCCCTTCCATTATTTATTATTTGTTTTTGTGTTGAAATTAATTTTTGACCACTAAATGACTATATTATACTTAAATACAAAAAAAATCAAAAGAAAAAACCTCAAAGTTTACATAATAATAATAATAATAATAACATTATTAAAAAAAAAAAAAACTAAAGAACCAAAAATATATGTTCGAGTAAAACATTCAGAGTTTTATGAACTCAACTCTGACCAAGGTGGAGATTGTTAGATCTAACAATTAATACCACAACATTATCTATTTTATTTAACAAAGTGAATTATCTGTTTCTACAACTTTGTACATTCGTAACTTCAAGTTTCTCTCATAACAAAAAAGATGTGATTGAGATAAGCCTCAACCCGATCAGCTTCAAAATGAATAATGAGAAAACATACAGTATTCTTTGCAAGGTAAAAGTTGACATGAAACTCCTTTTCCCAATGACATCAATTACTTCTCAGCCCCGACCCTCTTTAAAACATTCAACCTGTTATCACATAATCAACAAGACAGACAAGATAAGGTTGGTGCATCTATCTAACAACTGCATAAAAAACAAGCATGGCGAAAGATAAGATACCGTGTCCAAGACTCTGTCACCGACTCACCGGTTGCCACTCCTGCAACAACATATATAGACTGTTACAGAACAGCAGCAGCAGAATATCCCCTTGTCTGCTTCATTGGGTCCGCCCTCATCCATTAATCCATACGTGAATCATAAATTTCGATGCTTGAAACCATTGTACTGCCATCATAAGCACCCAGAGCATATCTACAACACAAATTCATCTTGTTAATATGAAACATGAAAAGGATAATATATATCTCTGGGGACTACGCATTTTGTCTTTTGCAATACATGAGGAACATAATTACGAGTAGACTTGTAGTAAGAAAAAGTGAGTTTACAATGTTAATCAAAATGTATTATTTCTTATAGTACCAATAAGCTAAAAAACAAGAAAACATAAGGAACAGAAAAACTTACAATTTTCCACTCAAAACAACCAGTGAGTGGCAGGTTCTCTTTGAGTTCATGCTTGCAATTTGCTCTGCAGAACTGATATATACAAAAATGTCAGGCAACTTTTAAACAAACAAATGCTAGAAAAATCAATTACATTATCTGAACTTCGATTTAGCATCATCTCTTCTTTAGTTTCTTACTATCAGATGCATCTCCATATACATATAGAAATCGCAGGCATCTCAAGTCAACTAAATGTCAAACAAAAGATTAGAAGCCTTAATTATTAAGTTAAGAATTTGGAAGTATATCCTGCTGATATGCCAATATATATAAATTTAATTATGCACACAAACAGGAAAGCAATAAAAGGGCGTGTGTCTTACTTCAGATAATCCTTCCCATCAAATCCGCCAGTAGGATAAAGCACAACATCAATTTCTGCAGCAGCAAAAGAAAATCGCTGGAGAACAGATAAAGGGCATTCATGGACCAAGTCTTAGTCAACTTATACATCATGCATGCTTTTATAAGGTGGCATGCCACGTGCCTCAAGGAAATAAGAAATGTCTGAAATTGGTATTTCATTTTTGCCATTTACATTTAGCATCGTCTTGCTGCCACATCACACATACAGTAAATACATGTAACCGACGTATGTCTCATGATATAAAGTATCTTTAAACCTTGTATTGAATGACTGATAACATATGATAGATGCCCAACTTGATGACAGAAGTGACATGGTGTCCATGATGAAACAAAATACCTTCATTTTCAGGAAACTTAATTGCCAACATGTCAAATAAGCAATGAATTCAACATCATCAGTAAACCTTTTCTCAATCATTTAACCAGAATCCAGGAATCAAAAGAAATATATAAGAATCAATCTAGAAGAAGATTTAAATTGAAATAGGCAATTGTTTATGATCTTCCATATTCATATTTTTCCATTAGTTCTACCAAATTAAATTTCTCAACTATAAATTATTATATTGAGTGACTCTGGAAAGTAGCTGCATCACAAATCACAGTGAATTCTCTCTAGATATCTCATTTAATTAGATTCTGGTCCGTATATGAGGAATATCTCTTGTGAGTTTAATAAATGCTGTAAGATTTCATACATTCTGAAATTTCCATTTGTCTGAGTTCAATTCAAAGCAAAGCCTCAAATGATAAAAGCCTCAATGTTTTTCAATTCATGCATAAACATTAATTGAAGCTCTCACAAGTAAACTTAATTTTCGATCCTTTATTAAATACTAAACCAATAAAACTTCATTCCTCAAACTGATTCAAATGCAGGTGAAAAGTGTACCTTTTGTTGCAGTGACAGCATACCGATCCATCGTTCAAGCTTCAAATCAGACATTTCAATATCTAAAAAGCAATCAACACTATTCCCAACGCCAATTGCATATATTTTGTTATCAAAAGTAACTCCACCTAGGCCACTCTTTGGCTTTTTCAAGGAAGGGCACAGGGTCCATTCATCCTACTTGGGTTGTAAGATTCAACTGAGATATAGTATGAAATATTAGAGATAAGTAGATTGAAAAGGTAATATACTTTAAAGAATTTATTAAGAGCTAATACCTGTATTGTACCATGTGCGTCTATCCCCACCACCAAAGACATAAATCTCACCATTCAACAATGCAACTGAAGCATATGAACGAACAGAGTTCATTGGCTGAAAAGATTTAATCACACCTCTCGAGGGAACATATAAATCCAATGTTGATAATCATGATTCCCCATCATATCCACACAATAGATATATTGACTCAGTAGGATCGACATGCAGCTCGTCTAAGGACTCTATGGCCTTTACATCACTTAATTCGATGGAAGGATTAGACACAGAGTGTACCATCATACAATGATTTTTCAACTGCTGGATCTCAGCTTCTGCATCAATCTGGAAGAGTCGGGGTCAAAGGTGTTTGTTCATCACATCAAGTGGCATGAAATACACAAATGCAAGGAAGCACCATTTTCCATAAACATCATAACCATAAATATCCAGGGGAGAGGGGAGGGGGAATTAATGCATTGACCTTCAAATGAAGGAACAGTAGTCTCTTCAATTTATCATTACTGCAATACAATATGAATTTGACTATTTCAAGACACTAGTGACTCTTACCTTTGTATTACAGGTACTTCACCCACTAACAAAGGCTCTTAAATGCGCTAAATTATATTTTCATTTAAATCTCCAAGCTTTTGGTGTTAATACTAAGGAGAGGGAAAAACCATCAACTGCTCGGAATATTGTTGCTGATGCTTTTCCTATTCAACCTTCTAGAGTACCAATGGCTATAATTCTACTTCTATTTCCATTGTCAATTAATTCAATTTAACATTAGTCCATAGAATATATATAAATAATTAATCAAAAAAGAATTCAGCCTCCAACGGCGACTAAATTGCTATTTTCGATTATATCAATCTGCACATTGTTTGCTTAGTAATTTGCCAAGGGCAGATAAATCAGCTATTGGAAATAGCAGAGTTCAACATCCGAGGAATGACAAAGCATTACCAGCTTCTGCTCCAAATATCTCATCTTTAGATTTTGTTCTGTTTGAATTTCTTTAAGCTCTTCCACCCCTTGAATAAACTACAGAGAGCATAAAGCAACTTTACTAAGGCCAAAGCAAGAAACTCTTTTGAATCTTAAGTGAAATAAAGTAAAGGACAAATATCCTCAACTACCTTAGCTATGATGGACTGACAATAAGAAGAGGAACAACTATTCTCTTCATTCTTCTCATCAGAGCTCATCATCTCACAAATAGAACCCCCTTTTCCCTGGCACATACCACTGGTAATCGCAGGTTCATCTACATAATCAGTTAAAGGAACGTCTTGACGTCCACAGCTAAAAGCCAATTCTTTCAGTTTCATGAGAACAATACCTTTCTCATCTTGTTCCACCATCTTCACATCTGAATGAGCTTCCGATAGCAGGTTGTCACCATTTAGTGGAACATCATCTCTAGAATCTATTTTCCTACTCAAGTAATTAGACTGATCAACCTCCAAAGGACGTGGCTGAAGTAATTCACACTCCCCTTTCATTTCACCGACAGGAACAGCATCTTCAGAATCTGAAACCCAGCTTTCTTCTTCCGTGTCAGTTGACAAAAGAGGTTGGAAAAAGTTTCCCCATTTTGTTGTGTTGAAAGGAAGACAAGGTAGACAAGTGCTTGTTGAGACTGCTAAAGATGCTAGTGATATCAGCTTGCTTGCCTGAGGATGGTCAAGGTCCATTACTGGTTTAAACTGTTCTTCAAGCAGTGGTTGGCATTGCAATTTGACACGAATCTGAACCTTCATTTGGAAAGCAACATAATATCAGCATTAAAGCGCCCTCTCTTCATCATATATAACTTTTTTAACTTACAAACAACTAGAAAATAGAGAAGCAAACTTGTTATATTACCTGTGCAGGATACAGGGTTCTCTTAGAACCATCAATGGTCCACCCATACGTATCAATGTCCATTTTGCCAGGGCCAGCAGCTTCATAGATTCCGTAAAGTTTCTGTCACTGTAGTTGAATAGAAAAAGTGGTGGGCCAGTATCAATGTTCTTTACATAGGTGAAGTCTTGAGCTGGTAAGCCTGTTAAAGTTAATACAAAATCTCGTAAGTTCTTGGAGAAAAACTAAGAACAATACACAAGCTGCACCGCAATGCTGCCCAACTAAAATGAAAAGAAAAAGAAATTATATCATATAGAGATATATTCTTAAACCAAACTACCGTTTTCATCTTTAGCAGCAATCTTGCTTAAAAAAAGGAGCTCAAGGTGTGTATGCAAAGTAATAGTTGTAGAAAAGACATTTGCGAATAAGAATTTTCCATTCATGAAAAACAGGAAATAAAATCTAGACGAAAACAAATGATTAAAATAAAAACAATGAGAAATATTTTATTCATTCTTCCCATTTTTATGCAATCCTACCAACAAATATCACTGGTTTCTGAATGACTAACAAATTCTTGAAACAAAAAAGACAACCAAAAACAGCCAAAATGTTTACTGAAAATATGCCTCAAAATTGCGGATGACTGACCAAACAGTTGATTAGTTAAACATTCTTTAATGGTGTTATTCTTGCAACCAAATATAACACCACCAAGCTGGCTTTTACCCAGGTTTCTTGCAGATGCACGGGTATAGGTTGGATTTGTAGAAGGTGAATTTCCAGTGATAATGAAAGTTTGTAATTTCCTCCCCATCCTGTGACCAAAATTGAAAAAGATCAAAAATGCAAAACAAAATCTGAAACTGCAATTAGAGCTTAAAACATGAATAACTACTGCTGATCAAAAGGGCTCAAAAACTTTCAACCAAAACGTTGAAGAATCACGAAACAGCAAATTTATAAAATATCAGCAATCATAAGAACAACAAATCCACAGAAAAAAAAAACCTAACCTAAACAATTAATGAATTGACTTTTGTTAATAAACACGAAGGCCATTATGTCAAAGAAAAGATGGAGATCCTACTTTGATGAGCAAATTGAATCACAAAAAGGCTCCTACATCAACCTCATCAATATCCATTCCTTACAATTCCTCTCATTGAAAAATAATTATACATTTCTCACAAATTAATTAACACTCATGATGCTTTCAAGAATCATTCGCTTCAATACACAGTAATATCCATAAATAATACCAAATAAATAAACAATCAAAACCTAAAAGCAGAGTGTGATGCTTAATGGACAAAACCTGGAAGTGCAATTAAATGTAATGCTATCGGAATCACTAAATATGCTTAACAAGAACTTCTAATTAAAGAAAATCGCAAACTATTAATTCGTTTGATAGAAACAGAAAAAAGAAAGTAAAAGCGAAACGTCAAAGATATTTAAACTTCAAATGCGGCAAAAAACCCTAACTATCACAAGTTTTAATCAAATCACCGAATCAAAGTGAAACCGAGTTCACTTTCTTTGTTAAATCATCCGATTGAAGCAAAGCCGCGGCACTTTTAAAATCGAGCGAACAAAACTGAAATAAAAAAGAAAGAACCAAAAATAATGAGAGTTGAAAGGAAGATAAGCGAAGAGAAAATGTGTCAAAAAGAGACGCGTACACTGTGCGTCGAGGGTGCTGAAAATAGAAACAGTGTGCTCCACTTTAGAGTGGTTGGCAAGAAGCGCGAAATGGAAACCGAGTAACATAATTACGAGTAGACTTGCAGATGAAAAAGTGAGTTTGCAATGTACAATGTTAATCAAAATGTAGTATTTTTTACAGGACAGCAGAGCTGAGCCATCAACAAGTACCAATAAACTACACAACAAGAAAACTAGAGGAATAAAAAAACTTAAAACAATTTTCGATTCAAAACAACCAGTGAGTGGCAGGCTCTCTTTGAGTTCATGCTTGCAATTTGTTCCCAATAACGCATTCTGTTGTCAAATTTTTCTGCAAAACTGATACGTACAAAAATGTCAGGCAAATTTTAAACAAACAAATGCCAGAAAAATTAATTACATTATCTGAACTTTGATTTTGCTTCATCTATTCTTTCGTTTCCTACTATCAGATGCATCTAAATATTGTTACAGGCTAAATCAATTAGTAGATACGTACAGATCTCCACACAAACACACACACACACACACACACACATATATATATATATATATATATAAATCAGAGGCATCTCAAGTGTCAAACAAAATCCTGCTGATATGCCAATATATATAAATTTAATTATGTACACAAACAGGAAAACAATAAAGGACGTGTGTCTTACTTCAGATAATCCCTCCCGTCAAATCCGCCAGTAGCATAAAGCACACCATCAATTTCTGCTGCAACAAGTGAAAATCGCTGGAGAACAGATGAAAGGAATTCATGGACCAAGTCTTAGTCAACTTACACATCATGCATGCTTTATAAGGTGGTATGCCACGTGCCTCAAGGAAATAAGAAACGTCTAAAATTGGTATTTCATTTATACCATTTGCATTTAGCATCGTCTTGCTACCACATCACACATACAGTAAATACACGTAACCAGACATATGTCTCATGATGTCAAATAAGCAATGAATTCAAGATCATCAGTAAAACTTTCCTCAATCATTGCACCAGAATCCAGGAATCAAATCAAATATATAAGAATCAATCTAGATAGAAGATTAAAATTGAAATAGGCAATTGTTTAATTTTTGAGTGGAGACATAAAATAGAGGGACAAAATGGAGGGAAAATGTTTAATTGTTGGACATTAATATACATATATAGATCAAATTAATATCTAAACAAGAAAACCTGTAAAATTGTAAAAAAAATTCTTTTATTTACAATACGGTATTGAAAAACTGAATGACAAAATAGGCATTATACTGAAATTTTCAAGTAAATAGAGAAGTAAATAAATTTTTTAAGTAGTTTTCTAATAACTCTAAATATTGAAATAAATAAAAAAGGTAACAACTTTAGGATTATATTTATGTTATTGTTAGAAACAGGTCATAAATCCAAGTAACATGTGCTTATATATTGATACGTATTATTCTTCTCTCAAAAATATCATCTAGCTTCTACATAATTAGTTTATGATGCATAGACTAGAAATTGAGAGCAAAATAAATTAGATAGAAATGGATTAGAAATAGAGATTTGGACTTCCTTACCCTTTAAAAAAATTTTGAATTCTTTAAGTATTTTAGGCTGCGGTTCATCTTCATCATCGATAGGCACTTCTATTTCAGAATCAGAATCAGCAAAGCCAGTGGATTGACTTGTACTTGGATTCAACTCTTCCACTTCTATTACAGAATTAGAATCAGAAAAGCTAGTGCTTTGACTTGTACTTGGATTCAACTCTTCCACTTCTATTTCAGAATCAGAATCAGCAAAGCCAGTGGGTTGACTTGTACTTGGATTCAACTCTGCCGCTTCTATTTCCCTTTTGACATCACAATTATTGATACAACAAAACCAAATCAAACATCATGATCAAATAATTAATATATGAAATAAATCAATGCAATTCAAAGAAATTAATTTGATTGTATATAAGATTACTTTAAAGGCAATCATATTTGAAAATTAGCAATTAACAAACAATTACATGCAGATTACATATGTTTATTTGATCATATTAAATATTTTATGATTAAGAACTAAATTATATAAAATCGGTAATACTTTATGATTAACAACAAAATTATTTCAAAAGATAATGATCATAATTAACTCTACTAGTTCCCAAATGAGTGCATTTTATATACTTGAATTAAACTTCATAATATTTTAAGTCATAGTAAATATTAGTTTCACATAATTAATTTAGAAATGAAAGTTAATGTACAGTTTATTGTACTATTTTAGACTTGGCATTACTTAATGATATATTTAAATTTTATATTTTTATAAGAATCTCATAATCATATTCCATTAGGTGAACAAGAGTTTCCAGAAAAATGAACTAGGAAAATAAAAGCTAATCATATAATTAAAATGAGGTGTAGAAGGAAAACTTACTTATTTTCATAGTTGCATATTTTCAATCTCTTGGAGTGCGGTTCAATTGTATCGATCGTTAGAGCAGCGGAAAGGTCATAGGATGGTGGCTTATCATTACAATGGCCATTTCCATTGAGTTTTAGCCTTCTCTTTAAAGATGAAAGATTTATTGGATTCTTCCATTTGTAATCTTGACGGCACAATAAACGAACTCCACACTTTTTCACCTTAAAACCTTTTATGGGTACATTATCAAAAGTGGTAACTGTGAAATAGATGATGGTCTTAGCCTCAGGAGAACCCCGACTACGAGTAATTAAACTAGAAGCTTTACCAGTATACATAACACAATCATATCCCAAGAACACATGATTTGATTTATTGTAGTGAGTTCTATCTCCTTCGAACCAACCTTTTATAGACCCAATTGCAAGAGTCTTATAGCGATGATCAGATACTCTATTACGCAACCTACAATTAACTAAGAAAGGTTGGCCAAAATCTAACAAATCTGGGAATTCTACAACAGTGCAGAAAGCCAAACCAGCAAAAGTAGCATTGGATGAGCCCAATGGTAGTTCTATATAATAACTAGCATTTTGAAAGCTAAACCACTCTGGAATTTCACTTCCTGGGAAACTCATACAACCTTTTGGATTCACACAGTACATCTGCAATAAAAAAATGTAGCATTGTTAATTTAACATGAAATTTTTTATTCAAAAAAAAATAAAAATAAGAATTAACTTTGTATGATAGGAGAGAGACCTCTTCAACTTCTGAGCATAAAGTTGTACTTTGCTGAAAACGTAGTAGAGCATTTTTCACAGTTTCTCTGAGTGCATTCCTTTTCAATTTCCAATATTGTGCTTCTAGACACTCTAGATCAAGTGGACAATTTGACATGAAACAAGGCCTGTTACCAACAGATTAAGTCAAGCAAACAACATTTGACATGAAATTTGATATAAAATTTGATCTCCAATTATTTTTTATCTTGTGTTATTAGTAAGACTTTATAGGTGATGTGTTGATATGTTAAGTAACTTCAAAATGTGACATAAAATTATGTACCACATGAAATGACATAAATTTAGTACTAATTGAGATATATATAATTACTTTTTATCAGACAAAATAAATTAAAAGAATCGAAAAACATTATTGAGCTAAAAAAAATTTTTACTATTTACCTTAAGCTGCATATACCATCAAAGGAATTTGAAATTTGCAATTTATTGGATTGTAGTTCATCTTTCTCTTTCCCTTTCTTTTTAGCATTGTTAACACTTGTGGATGTTTCTGATGGTTCTCCATAATCTCCAAGGTACAAGAAATGAATCCCACACTTTTTCACCTCTTTATTTCCGGCATCAAATTTGATGAGCATTTTACAATTTAATGACTTCATCTCATAAGAAATTTTACGATATTCGTTCTTGCACTTCTCAAACACCATTTTCGTTATAGAATGAAAGCTTGATAATACATGATTTGAACGTGAATTACGTTCATTGAAGCTACAAACATTAGATTTAATGTTTGTTCTATAAATTTGCTCCTTACCATCTTTCCTATTGACCAAGCAGTAACAGGTACCTTTGTAATTAGGATGAATAAGGAACTTTTTTGGAAAAACAACAATAGATGTAAGAAAACCTAGAAAGTTTATATTATGCCAATCTAGTGGCCGATCAAGAGTTATATAAGACCCCGTATTTTGAAAGGTAAACCATTTAGGAATTTCATTTCCAGAGAAACAGATACTAGCACAAAATTCTCGACAAGATTCCTGTACCAATGAAAATGAAAATCATCACATCATAACATAGTTTTAGCTTCAGATTTTATTTTTTATTGCTTTTAAAAAACAACTAACATCAAGAAAAATGAGAAGGCATTAAAAGAGATACCTCATGAAGAATTTTAGGTAAATCCAATTTAAAACAATTGGCAAAAGTTGTTGTCCGTGATACCCGATGAGGTAACAATAGATATGATGGATCTGATATTGATTGCAAGGATGAGCAGTTAGATGCATCCACATTTACACCCTTTGGAAGCTCTGGCAAAAGTTGAAGTCTCTGGCAATTGCTTATGTCTAGGTAGTACAAGTTAGAAAGTCCTTTGATGTTTTCTGGTATGCTTTCAAAATTATTTCCACTTAGATATAACTCTCCCAGAAAGGATAATTGTCCAAGATTGTTAGGTAATTTGGTGATTCGGCAGTTTTCCAAAAACAGTACTTCCAAAGAGAATGAACCTGATGAAGAATTCAATACCCAATTAAGGGGTGTCTGATTATCACCAGGTTGATATAGGTCTAAGGTGCGTAACTTTGGCAAGTGTAAAATGGATGATGGTATTTCTTTTAGGACTGTATGGTAAGTTTTGAGAATCTCCAAAGCTTCTAAATCTCCGAAGTCATCAGGTAATCTTTCCAATTTGGAGCAGTCGCAAAGATTAAGGCTTTCAAGAAATTTCAACTTACAGAAGCTACTTGAGAGACTCTCAAGCGATTGACATCGGTCAAGATCCAACTCAACTAGTCTAGATGGATGTTCGAATGAGGGTGTTTCTTTTATGGCAGTTTCCCTTAAATATAATATTTCCACCTTACATGAGAACTTTGGAGCTATCTCCAGATTACAGCAGCAACTGAGATTAATAAACTTAGATTGAATGCCATCTGGCAAACTAATAAGCCTTATGCAACCCGTTAGATCCA